GTATGATATGCACACTAAAACTGGGTAATACAGACCTACCACCTTTATTAATTCTGATTTATATTCCTGTAGCCCTTCAGGACTCCTGATCCTGTTGATACCAGTTCTGTATAAAGAGAATAGAAAATATGTAGTCTAAATTACTGAAGAGTTTTCCATTCCCATAGAACAATTAGAATGGAAAACAAGGAGGAATTATGTAGGATCAGAACAAGTGATCTTGGCTTACCAGAGTCTGCCGTACCTTCACTGGTTTTGCTAGGCTTTGTAGTAAGTAAAAGCCTAAACAAAGAAGGAGAAAGTTTTAAAAGAAAACTATATAATAGATTTATATGTTTCTAGGGAGCTTTTACTATGTAAATAGATGATGCAAAGGATCTTGTCTGAAAGAGCTTATTAGAGCTGAAATCCATGAGGAGTCACAAAATATTGTGACTGAGGGCAAATGTTCTGTATATGATGCTATAGAGAAGGGACTACATCAACAAAGAGCAGAATAACATTCTAAGAATGACAGGCAAAGAAAATAACCTTTGCAGCAGAAAGTGTATAAGACATAGTTTGAGGTGTATAAGACATAGTTTGCTTTGTTAAAGCAGTTGAAAGGAGGCTTGCAATAATTCAGAACTAAGTGCCAAGAGGAGGGACTTTGCAGAAGATAGCGAAAGTTGCAATTTTTGATGCCTGAAAGTAAAGTGAAAGACATCACGAAGTAATAGTCATTCTTTTTTCTGAGGGTCATGTTTAAAAATTTTGTTCAGTTGCTAAATTTAAAGTATAATTTAAAATACACTTAATTTCATCTTTCTTCTCTTTCCCTTTTCAAATAGCACAGGCTTGACATCAATGCCTGATGACATAATTTTTCCCCCTCAATTTAATCCATCCTTCCATTCAATTTTTTTAAGGAGTATCTATCATCATTTAGGCTTATGTAACAGAGAAAATGATAATCCTACTAGTGTTTAACAGCTGCCTAACCGTATATGAGTAAAATGCCAACATACACTTCTACTTACATTTCTATCAAAGAAACTCACTTTCTAGGCATCAAAGAGGACTAGAGAGGAGAATGGCTTTCATGGACTGTTGTGTGCCTGCCCGAGCATTTGAACTTTAGGTGTCATTCTTTGTCCTTAACAAGAACAGCATATTTAGAATTAAAGATACGAAGAATGTCCTTAAGTTGCTTGCAGTCACATCATATTGTTTTCATAAGGGACAACAGCTAAATAGATTGTCAATCAAAGTGAGTTCTGTCCTGTGCAAATGGTTGTGAGCCTAATGCTAAAGGTTGTACTGCTCATAAATGCAAATTCTACATCAGCATCAGAGAGCTGATGCCACTGTGAAGTCCAGAATTTGTTGATTTGCTCAGCTGAAAGACTGTGGATATGTTCATTTTCAGACTTCTTACTTTTACTGTAGACTAATATGCTACACTTCATATCAAGCAAGAAATACTGTGCATTCAGGATGAAGTTCCTCTTCTGATCCTGGCAAACAGGAAATAGGCATTGCTCAGCTCATCACCTAATCTTGCCTGTTCTTAAATCTGTGATCTTTAGGGGCTTCTCATGCTTTACTAGATAATTTCACTCATTCAACTTGTACATGCTTTCAGGAAAATAGAAGAATTCAGGTACATCAGCTTTTAAAATGGGTGGTTGCTGGCAAATGCTTGATCATAGTGTACTTAAACACCATCAAATAAATAGATGATTAATTCTGTTATTACCTGTTTCCACTAAGTGGAGCAAATGAACAATGTAGTCAGACCTTAGCCTTGGCTTATCAATTTGCTTACACTGCATGTGTTGTAATAATTTCTGTCCTAAGTGCCCTTAAAATCAGGCTGCTTACCAAGCCAAAACACACTGCAAGAGCTCTGTAATGCAGGAGATGGCCAGGCAGCTGATTAAGGAGTGTGAATTCCAGATAGAATTGATATGTGCTTTGATACCTGAAAATTCCTGCCTTTTTCATTTTCTTCATCTTACATATAATTCTTCGGAACAAGAGCTTGGAGCAATGATTTATTATTTACTTCAAAACTAGATTAAAATAATGATGTTGAAAGTTATAAAATGCAGCAATCAAACATAAGACTTAGTAGTATTTTATTCTCTTGAAAATGCCTCCCGCAGTTGAAATAATTATTAGTACTTTTACTTAGTTTGGGTAATTTTAATAAGCAAGTAGCTGATGCATTACGTAGTATTGGTATAACAAACTGGGAATGTAAGCTGACCTACTGATTTTTCTGTGAATCAGCATATTTGAAAAACATGGCAAGCATCATGCACACAACGCTACCATTTTTTTAAGTAACTGTATTGCTTCCATTTAATTTCTGTAATTTTGAATCAGTCTCACTTTATTAGTACTTTTAAGGATGTTGAGCTCTCTAGGGGAGCCATGTAATACTACAGGTTGCTGTAACATAAAATATTAATTAGTTTCTTATAGTTCAAATGGAATTTTAGTCTATGTCTTAAGCTGCTATGGGTGATTTTTTTTTCCCCCTTCATAGTACTGTGAAATGTAAACATGCAGGTAGTATAATACTTCCTTCGTCTGTAGAAATACTAAAAGAGCTCATGCTCGTGTCCTGAGATCCCATCATATACCACGAAACCAAGAGGATTAAACTGGATCTAGAGTACCTTGCCATCACAATAAGCTGTTCTGGAGATGAGGAAGATAGCTGTACATACACACCATAGAGGTGGTTGTCACAGCTTGCCAGTGACAGTATTGCAATGCTGCAGGCAGTATATTTTATATGAGACATTGAACTCCCACTTATGACAGCATTTGGCCCTTACAGCTGATGTGCCACATGGAAAAAGCATGGGACTTAATCACAAAGGCTGGAATGATTTTGCCTCAGACCAAACTCTTCTGACTGCCACCATTCCTGTAGCCTTTTTGAGGGGTATTGGGAAAGAGCTTCTAGTATTTCTCTCCCCCAGTAAATTGTCTTAAACAGGTGTTTTGTGCCAATGGGGTCTATATTAATAAGCTCATTTCCATCCCAGATTTCTTGCTGTGAGCAGACAGAACTCCGGTTATGTCATTAAATCAACATCTGGCTCTGGTTTTCCTGACATACTGAACCAAAAAGTGTCTGCTTTTATCTTCATTTCCTTGCTATTATATGGGGTAATTTATTTGCCTACAGAGAAGTCTTCTGCATATTAGCATTTCCCTTGACAGGAAGAAGACCTAAAGATCACTTTTTCTGTTTTCTGGCGAGATAGGACATGTTAGAGCATCTTCTGCCTTGTGCTCTCTTCAGAAGGCTCATGGGCTTCTGAAGTGCTTAGCCTTAAGCTGTGTGGGCTGTATTCTTCTTTTTTAACTGTTAGTGGGGTCTGGAAAAGTAAAAGAACTTTTAGCACCATTTTGATTCATGGAGAGAGCAAAACTTCAAGTAAATTCCCATGAACTTCCATCATCACAAGACTGGACAATAGAATAACAGATAATAGGAAAGGCTTAGTATTGAGGACAGGAAAGAAGCAGGAATTGAAGCAAAATTATGAAGGACTCATTTGAAAGAATGCTGAGAGCTGTTGAGGATGGAAGATGAGAACTAATTGCAGAAAATGAGGTTCTTGAGAGGAATTGGGTGGGTTTCTTGGAACAATCTACCAGGGAAATGGAGAAATTATTAATTGAAGGCTTTCACAGAATTCATTGTGTGCTTCAGTAAGTACACAGAGAGACGAGATACAGATTTTTAAGGAAACGTGGAAAAGGGGTTTCCAGTGAGTTAATTTATTTTGCAGTCTCTGTGTGTTTATTGATGGATTTTGTATTTTGAAATTTTTACTGAATTTTCTGGAGAGGGTAGGGCAGTTACAGATATGGGGCATAGAGAATAAAATCATGGAAGAAATACAGAATTAATAGAAGAAAGCTCTCTGAAAGAAAATGTATTAAGCTTCAATGAGAAACAATGAGAGATTGTTTTATTTTTGAGAGGAACTGACGCAAGTGCCATAAGAACTACATTGGAGTGAACCTGCAAGTTAAATGTAGCCTCATGTATTTAATGAGATATTTATACTTTTTTATAAAGGATCTGTAAAAATTTGTTTATTAAACCAAAATATTAAGGTAGCAGAATTTATAAATAATTTAAAGGAAATTATACCTCTAGATGTGTATAATTGACACTGCTTATTATCTGTCTCATTTTAGCCTCCTTTCTGCTTCACCTGCCCCTTAAGGAGACATGTAAATTTGTGATGCTGATAAAGGCACTGTCATTCCCAAGAGGCAGGCACCTTCTGGAATTAGCCTGTTGTGCACTTGCATGCTCATGTATATACATGCATGTGTGTACGTATCTACAGCACAAATTAGAAAACTGGTGTTTTCTCCATCCAAGTTTTGAAGGCATGGTCCTGTGTATGTGTTCTATTTTATATGGTAATAAGATAAGCAGAAATAATATAGGAAAAGATCACTGACAGACTCAGAACAATAGGGAAATGTACTAAAGTGAATAAATATTTATGTTACTATTATTTCTAGGCCCTACAGAAAATCCTAAGAAACTTTTCTTTTTTGTGTGCGTGTGCTAAATACTAATCAGTCTTATTTCTTCTTTAGCAGTTGCTGTAACCTTGAGAAAATTTTTACGAACAGGGTACTCTGTAACTAACATTCTCGGCTTAAAAAGTTGTTTTTATAAACCCCTTTATTTATGCATTATAAATGGTATGTGTTCAAATTTTCAACCCCTGAAGGAGAAAAATGAGCATAACATTTAAATGATGCCATTCACTAATTATTTTGACAGTTTACCAGCCTGTAAATGATGACTTTTCATAATACTCTGAAATGAAATAGCTGTAGCATGTTCACTGTGTTTACCTGGGATGAACCACATGATGCCTTCCATACTTCTACAGGAAAGGAGAAACTTCCTCTAAAAACTCAGCAAAATGCAGTAGTAACATCTTGGGGGTTTGTTTTATTGTTTTCAGGGTGCTGGGTGCACTGCACTGGTGGTAGCTGTGGTGGCAAGGAAGTTAGAACTTACCAAAGCTGAAAAACATGTGCATAATTTCATGATGGACACCCAGCTAACTAAAAGAGTAAGTCACATTTTATATTCACATCTGAAAAGGAATACTGTATATTAATTTATTTCTGCATTTGCTTGTAAGTAGTCTCCTGCTTGGTACCCTTGTTGAACTTTATGATGGGTGTTATTTTGCAAGATTAGAAATTGAATGCCTTGAGTTCTCTAAATTGAGGGCAGCTGCAAGTTGTCAGCAAACTTTAAGGATTTGAATAGGGTCCTTGTAACTGGAAGGTATTTGGTGTTAATTAGTTAATAGTCTAGTTTCACAGCAGTTAAGTGCTGTGAAACTAGGCTATCATATTAAACCAAAAGCTTTTGTGTGGCTTATGAAAACTTTTTTTTTGTAGCTAAAATAGGTGAAATGATAGATAAAAACAAAAATTTCAAGCTATGAGAGATATTTTTAAGTAAACAACATATTCAGGATTTGTGAGTGAGGCAGTCTTTCCAACTGCTTTTCATACACAATGGTTTATTTAACAGCACACAGTACTGAAGGACCCTGAATGATGTTTGTATATATTATTTTTAGAAGAGACTATTTTTTTTACAAAATAGAAATCATTGGTATTTGTAGAAATATTTTAAATGAAAGAAAATGCAGCAACCAAGGCAATAGAAATCTTTGCAGAAACAAACAGGTCAGTGTTGAGGGAACAAGAAAATGAGTAGTAGCTGTACAGTCCACTCAACTTGTTTAGTGTTTCTTATTGGAAAGAACCAATGTGGAGACAAAGGTCCTTGTAATCACAGTGGGAACTCAGCAGTTTCCTCTTACTGAGGGTGCAGAGGGATGTCAGTGCCCGAGATGGAGATAGTAGTTCTGCTCCAGGTCAGGAGGAGGCTGGCTGCCCTGGCACAGCTCCATGCAGCTCTGCACTGCCACAGGTCCTGTGCTGCAGAGAGCCCTGTCCTACCCCCACGTGCTGTGTTTCTCAGAACACTGCCCTGGCTATGCTGGCTCTCATTTCTGTGCTGCTCACCACTAACAGCCTGTATCTCCTCTAAGGAGTCACAATGAGGAAAAACTAAGGATGAGTGGGAAGACAGTTCTTATATAGGTATAAAGGGTGTCTGACAAGGTATCTTTCTGAGCTTGTTGATTTACATTCCTGTTGTGGTCAGTTAAGGTCTTGTTGATACTAGACCACAGAAAACAATTTGTCCCTTTCTAATGCATGTACTTTTCTAGCGGTATCTGACAGCTGAGCCCAAAATGTGCCTCAGAGATTGGCCAGATTTTGTGTCTGGTCTTTATTTATGCCTCTTGACATTTTTTTTGTTCATCCATTTTTTCATATAAATCTCAATGTTAGCCTAGTATTTTATCCAAGTGGTGCTTTCATAGCTTCAGACTCCTGAAACTCAAAGCACGTGAAAAGTGAATCACGCAAACAAATCCGAGATGCAAATCAAATCATAAATCCTGCAGATGCTGGGGAGCTTTCCTCACAGCCTGAAGATAGCCATACCTTGTGGAAAAGCTACTTAGGGATTGTGAGGAGGTCACTAAACCATGGTTGTGTTTTCAGTGAAAACAGGACAAGGTTCTCCAACACTTAGCCAATCCAATCTCCAACAATCTTAGCCGTTTACTTAGCTCTGACACTGCAGTTACTGGCATGATGTAAAGCTGGAGGGAGAGAAAATAAAGATGAAAAATCACGACAATTTTTCTTTCCAAGTAACCTAGTCATTCAGCCATTAATCAACATTGCATTCAAATTATTTGTATGTTTTTAAGCGTTCTTGAAAATTTTGTAGGGTTTAGTAAAGAACTGTAGGTACTCTTCACATTTTATGGAAAGCCTCATTTAAAAAAAGTCAAGGTACTTTTTAAATAGAACTCTGCCCACATTAATTGACAACATATTTTTTTCATCTTCTTGGAGAATGTTATTAAAAAAAAAAAAGAAAAAAAAATTAAAGGGAAAAAGTGCTCAAACAGCTCTGGAAGTTTAAAAGACTTAAATTGCTTAGAGAACTTAGTAGTGCTAACCATAGAACAAGAAAGAAAGAAAGGTTATGGTCCTATTGAATACCCCTAATTAACATACAGATAATGCATTAGTATTTTTTCACTGTAATTTATATTGCCATAAACACCAAAGAGTTCCAACTTTTTGAAGAGGAAAAATTATTCTGGATGCAGAAAGATTTGATCCAAACATCACATCTATATTAAAAGGAAACTGCTCTGCAGTCCCCTTAATCCCGTTGTTGCTATCTTCCCTCAGTGCTGCAGCTTCATGACGTACCCACTTCCCACAGTTAAGACAGCATTTCAAAAGCTTTAGGAATAGTTAATAACAGAAAAGTGAAAACATAACATAATACTACTTTTGTCAGCCTTGTGTTTTTCTTTTATTAAACAGGTGAAAAATGCAGCGGCCAATGTACTCAGGGAAACATGGTTAATTTATAAAAACACAAAGCTGGTTAAAAAAATTGACCATGCAAAAGTAAGGAAACATCAACGCAAATTCTTGCAAGCTATTCATCAGTAAGTACTATTTTGCTTTGTTTTTCCTCTCAAGGTGTTTTCTCTGTTAGTTTCCTTCTCTCTCAGTCACTCTTAGTCCCATCCTGCCCCCTCCCTCGTCTCCCCCCACCATTCCCTTCCCTTCATAGAAGATAGAATCTGGAGGTTGATTTTCTTTCAGAGTAAGACAAAGGTTTTACTGTATTAAATGTTTACAATAAAATGAAAAGGTACGCTAACAGTTTATGCCATATAAACTGGTCGATGTTTTTCAGAAGTGTCTCACGCTTCTTGAATTGTCTAAGACTTTTTTTGTTTTTTGCACTGAGACTATCTTTTGTTTTTATGCATTTGCTTCCAGGTAGAAAGATGCAAGCTACAATAGAAGAAGGAAATTTTTTTAAAAAAATCTTTGTATTAGATGCTTTAATATTTTAAAATCAGAATGATGTGACAGAAGACAGTATGTATGTAGTGTTTAATGAAAAGAATATTCATCAAGTATCATTTCATGGCCCACCAGCATTTAGTTGCCTCTTTCCACTATATATTCTCAGTGCGCAAGATCAAATGTTGGTATGTCAGCTATGACCCCTCCCATCTGTTCTAGAAAATTTGAGTGTGAGCCAATAGTTGAGTCCATTGAACACCTCTGGCATTATTCAAGTGAGTTCTTCCCCGTTACTTGAGGGTTTGAAAACAAGTCTGAGACCTAAAACTGGTAGTAGGATTAAGCTGTGCCATGGTATTACCAAACTACAAGTGTTTATCTAAAATTTACAGTATGTATTTGTCATAAAGCACATCCAAATGAGCAGAATTGCACAATGGTTACTATTCCTTGAATGCCATGGGAGGAAAAACCCCAGAGTTTTGTCCTCAGGAACCAGAATTCTTTTGAGGAACAGTCAGGATCTTCTTGTCTGTTCTATTTGTTATCCCCAGCCATCCTGATGGAGCCATTTGTACAGCCGATGAAGATAGTTCCCATGAGTTACAGGGAAAATGTAGATAAATTAAGTTTAATTTCAAACTGATGGTTTCAAAACTTTTGAGTGTAGGTCCGTACCTGAGACAACCACTGAAGAGATGTGAGGGAAGCATCCATGATGAAAAGAACATCTATGCAGTGTCTTGTAGGAGAGACAGGAAGGAAAGGCTGGGTTTACTCATTTCCTATTAGTAAATTTAGACTAACAATCATTCTTTCTCTCATAGCAATGTTTTAAAGCAGTAGGTAGCTAAGCTTAAGCTAAGAAATATTCTGTAAGCCTTGATGACTGTATTACACTTAGCAAACTTTCAAGATAAAATGTTACTGTGTCATTGTGGAAACACTTTGAGGAGTAAAAAGACAGCAGAAGTTAAGGTGTTTTTATGTGTATATAAAAGGTATATTTTTATATAGCAGTTTGGCCATCCTGCTTAGCTTAAAGGATTGGGAGGTGGAGGGGAGTGGCAGGGGGTCTGGGGAGAGGATGGCATGTCATGTGTGTCCTTGCTGGACTTGAATCCTTGATTGTAAAGGTTAACATTAACATTTTAACTTTACTATTTATTTTGTGTGTGTGTGTTCATGTGTCTGTGTGTGTATGAGCACATGTGTTCAGAAAAGAATCTAAAAAGCACAGCAGGCTCGATCTCCAGCTTTTTATATCACATGAGCTCAGAAGAACTTTGCAGGATATAAAGTGTGTTCTGCCCCTCTCTTAAAAATTAATCAATCAGGTGGACTGAAGAAGGTGGCATCAGTAACTTTTTTCTATATGTGTCAGCTAGATTGCACAGCTATCTTAATCATTTCTCTTTATCTTTTACCACTTCGCACTACAGGTCCAAAACTTTTGTGTTCAGGAAAACAAACAAAAGATAATTTTTTCAATATACTGAAGAATGCACCATGGATGAAAACATTGCACTACCACTTTCCTTTCTTCCTGTAGCTGAATTGATGGATGCAAATTAATTTTTCATCCCTTTGCATCTTTGCTCTTTCTCAAGTGACTTACGGATACCTTTCCGTAGTCTTGAGTTTTGTTCGGTCCCCCTCCTTCACCTTCAAACCATTTCACTGGAGACAAAAATAAAAGGAGTGGCATTTCAGGGCCAGTTTTATAAAATAAACCAGACTAGATCATGATAACAGTCATGGTCACAGCTCTAAAATATGTTCAGCTGGTCTGGGTGTTCTGTTTCTCATGCACACTAGAGAAGATGAAGGTGAAATCATATAAAGGCATGCTATGTATTGTATAAATAAGAGAATCTACAGAGAATAATTAATGGTAAGGCTTGAAGATATTGCACATTCCTTTATCATGAATGCAAGTGAGTTAGACTCCTTCTGAGGCAGCTACTGATCAAAAGTTGCAACTCCTTAGGAGTTTCTACCTGCTGAATCGAGCCCACTGTGCCCATTTGGTTGTTTTAGTATATTTTACACTTTGTTTTCTTTTGTTTTGTCTTTTTTTCAACAAAATGAAAATAGAGCTCGGAAGTAAGTTGTATAAGCTGTTCCTTTCTAAACTTGCAGAATTTACCACTGTCTGCATGCAGAAAATAGAGTTTTTATTTGTGAACTTCAGTGGTCTGATTGCTGCCATGGAAACGTGATCCAGAATCATGGTCTTTTTCTGTGATAAGTGAAGTTCATAAAATCCAAATTTTATCTTAATGAATTATACTATGAAAGTCTGTTGGTTTCCATTAAATCCGGCTGCTGCAGCTAAAGACTTGCCATATCTGTACATTCTTACAGCCTGTGGTAGGTGTTGGGTTGGTTACCATGAAGAATTATCATGTTGGTGTCAAATGGTACTTGTACTACTACAATAATAATGAACTTCCTGGAATTTTAAATTTAAAATACTGATTGTCAAACAGATGAGTCAATGAATCTTAACAAAAAAAGCAGAAAGCACATAATTCTGCAAATTATTTGAGAGAATGGTCACCAAAACACTGGGGCTGTCATTCTCCAGTGAAATCATTTCGTTTGAATAATTATTCTGTTCTGACACTGTGATGATATAATTCTGTACCTCGGAGACTCCTTCATATTCTTTGCTTTAAAAAAACTCCACCTTGTAGCCTCTAAAAACACCACTCCTACAGTCTGCGTTTATGTTGTGTTCTGAAAGAGGCTTCCAGGGGAAGAAGACCACATGACATTTCAGTAACAAACTCCTGGAATGCCAGTTTTATAGGATCAGTTCATTTCTACCTTAACGGAGTTATTTCCACTTAAATTTTAAAGATATTTTTAAATGACATTTCACTCTCTACAACTTACTTTCTCATACCTTTTAGCCTAGATATGAAAGGAAATGCTTGTGAGCTAAAGAGATGAAAGAAACTTTCTGGTTTGGGAATACCTTCATTAGGGTTTTCTTTAAACTGGCTTTCTAATACCATCACTGAGAAATGGGCACTAGCAACCCATCTATCACAAAATGCTGCCAAACTTAATTCTATTTGACAGCTAACCAAATTGTTATTTTGGTTGGCCCTTGGCACACTGGTAGACTGAAGTTGTATCTTATCACACATTGTTTATAAATTGATACCTGGGTATCAAAACCCCATTTCCTGCTCTAGAACAGCCAGAAAAGTCATTGAAAGTCCAAGTATGCATCTGTTATGAGATTTTGAGTAAATGAATCATACTTCAGGAAGAAATTGTCTGTTTGTGAAAGTCAAATCTACAAACCACTCCCCTAGTAGTTAATCTGGAAAACATGGGGTTTGTCTCAGGGAATATATAAGAAGGGTCATATATCTTGCAAAAAATGTGCATAACCAACAATAATGCAGACAGGTATTTGTCAAAGAAAAACATGTACCCTTGCTGTTCCTATCATAGTTTTTCAATGCAGTAGTTTAAATAGTGCTTTGAAAATGAATGATGTAAATTTGAAATGTAATCATATTTAGATACACAAATTATCTAAGAAAACCAAATGTATTGGCAAGCATGTTGGTTATTTAGCTGCTGGACAGATGGAAGTTCTGTTTAAAGTAAGGAGAAACTCACTTATCACTGTATGTTCATCAGGTTCCAACACCTGCTAACCCAATCCATTTCCGACAGAACAGGGCTAATACCTGTATCTAGTCATGTAGGCATGGGAAGATTCTTGATTACTACAACAATAATGACAAAAAAACTGTTGTTCTATGTTTCTTCCTATATCTACTTGTCACGATACTGAGGCTTTGGGGAATGTTTTGGCTTTCTTTCATGTAGTCTGGATAAATTGTTATCTTCCTTTTTGAATTCAACTTTGACCATGGCAAATGGTATTCTCAAGGACATCACATTTCCCTGCTCTTTCCTTTTTTGCGGTGTTGAAGAAGCATGCTTCTCATTGTAGCAGGCACATGACCGATTCTGACTCTACACAAAGTAGTCAAGGCATTGTCCATGCAGTTATTTGCTCTCGTAAGTTTTGTGCATGCTCTCTAGAAATCCTAGTATGATGTCATACAAAAAAAAGAAAATCTGACTTAAAATTCCACTTTGTAGATTAAGAAGTGTAAAAATGGAACAAAGGAAACTGAATGATCAAGCCAACACTTTGGTGGACCTGGCAAAGGTTAGTAGGCATTTACTGTTATTTCAAGAGTTTTTAAGTGAGAACATTATGCATTCTTTGTGCAAATATTGTTAACAAGGTTGTTATTTGTAGCAAATGAAAATACGTTTGTGTTTTGTGGTAGCAGCTACTGAAAGAAACATCCTGATGAAAGTTTGAGTGTGCCATATTTATTTATTTTTCTGTACATTTGAAAAAGACTTCACAATTGAGAGGCTGATCCTGAGAGCTCCTGAGGTGACTGCGGTGGTCGTGGTAAATGCTGAACTGTGAGTGGGCTGTAGTGGTGTAGTGCTGTGTAGTAAGAAGATTTACCATGTGGTGATAGTGATCATAAGGCTTTGAAAATCTTCTTTAAACAATTTGAGTTGAGGCTATTCAGTTATGAGCTGCTTGCTTATTGTTGCCAGAATTTTTCATAAATATATAATAACTAGAAAGATAGAGGTCTGACTGATAGCATTTTGGATTTCTCATTAGATCATAATACTTAACAGTTACTGTGAGCTTAATTTGAGGCTACAGTAGAAGCATTAATGGGCTCTTCCTAAGGGTTTCTTGTACACCTCTTCATTTACCTCAAAATCCTCCTCAATTTCAAGTGCATCAAAGGAAACATTAAACTCTACACTGTTCATTCCCCTCTTGCTTCACAGAACCATCTGATAACTTCAGGTGAAAATGCAATTCACTCTAATGCTTCTGCAACTAATAAGGACTTCTAATATACTATTTTGTGTAGACTACTTCACTTTCAAGGCTTATGCTAGCATCGTGAAACAGGAGGCAGAGCAATGGTTTATAACACACCTGATACTGAAGTGGTTTACAGTTCAGGCAGTCATTCAATTAATTTTCCTTTCCTTTGGATGGTTCATAAATTTCTGCCAGTTTTTCTACTGAATTACATCCAGTTTTAACTCTAGTTTAAATAATCTGAAGCCTCATTTTATAAGAGGCAGACATTCAGCCATTATTTTTAACCAATTCTAAGTCTCCATGAAATTACTAGTTTCAGATTTCATTTTTACTGAGCATTGTGTCATTTTAAAGTATATTCGATATATTTGCTGTAATTAAACAGTGTTTTGTAGAGGCCAGATAGATTGGAGAGTGCAAAAGTAGAAAAGCATGCAATTGAGTTTTTACTCCTTGCACTACTTTAGAAAAACAATCCACTCAACTCCTCTTGCTCACAATTCAAGAAAATCCACTCAGTTTAAGCAGCAAGCTAGAGAAAAATGTTTGTGCTTTTCTTAGAAGAATGAAGATATTTAAAACCAGAATCAAGAACAGTTAAGAATGGAGTACATAAGTACAGCCTTCAGTTCCCTGGTAGCTTACACTGACTGTTCAAAAGCCTGAACACCCCCAAGCACCCAAATTTCCAAAAAAAGTCTGGTCTTTAATTGATTGTGACTTTGATGTGTAAAGTGGTACTAAAAGGCATTACATTTCTGCTCAAGAAATCTGATAGAAATTTTAGTATACTGTAATTGTAATGTACTTGTTACAATACTTGTAAGGTCTCTCTAAACCTTTACTTAAATCCTTCTGCTTTCAGACTCAAAACATCATGTATGACATGATTTCTGACTTAAATGAACGAAGTGAAGATTTTGAGAAGAGAATTGTTACTCTGGAAACTAAACTGGAAACTTTAATTGGTAGCATTCAAGCTCTTCCTGGGCTGATTAGCCAGACAATCAGCCAGCAACAGAGGGAATTCCTCGAGGCTCAGATACAAAATTACGATAAGCATGTTGCCTACAGTGCTGAACGATCACGATCTTTGTCAAGAAGAAGGAGATCATCCTCCACAGCACCACCAACTTCATCAGAGAGTAGCTAGAAGAGAATAAGTTAACCGCAAAATAAAGACTTTTTGCCATCATATGGTCAATATTTTAGCTTTTATTGTAAAGCCCTATGGTTCTAGCCAGCGTTATCTGGGTTCTGATATCAGAATCCTGGAAACCTGAAAACATTTTAGGCCAAAATGAGTGAAAACTCTTCTTTTTTCCCCCCTCCTCCTCTCAGATGCACAGTGAATGCACCTAGTATTGCTATATTAGATTGTTCTTCCTGTAATTTCACTTTTTATTCATGCACTTCAAACAAGCTTTACTACTACAATACATAATCTAATATAACAAATACGTTAATTTCTGCACATAGTTACCTGATTATTTTGACCTAACAACCAAAAAAAAGATCACAATCAAAAGAACTAATTACGAACTTTTAAGAAACTAAATTGAAGCTTAATAATTATTTCTCAGTATGAAAGCTGTCTAAACTTTGCTTGCAGTGGAGGGGGAAAAAAAACCAATATTAATCTAACAGTGTGCTGTATATGCATAGTCATTTTAAAAGGTCACTGACAGCTTTGATTTCTGAAGTGATTAATTCAAAATACGTCCTAGAAAATAAGTCTCAGAGTAAGCTGTGGGTTTTTAAAATATTGTTAGGGCTTTTATTTAACGTGCATTGGTACACACACAAACACACATAGATAATATATATATACATATGTATTTATGTATATAGAATTATTTATGCAATGCCCATGGCAATGATCTTTTAAACTGACTATTCGTAAAGCTACTGGCATGCAAAAAGCACAGGCAAAGTCCTGTTTACTTATTCAGAGTCTCATAAGAATGCCAGGTAAGTTTGTCCAGATCAAAAGCACCACTTTCACCCAGAAGTCTCCTAATAATGCTATTTGGGTTTTGAAAGTTTTAGGTTGCTACTTTCTCCACTCCTTTCTTTGTGTTTCTGGAGTGAATGACTGACACACAGACTTACAGTGTACACAGTTATATGATGGCAGCACAATGTTCTGTATACGTTATGTTTGGGCAATCCCCATGGTTCCTGCTATGCAGTCAAGCTTAGCAAAACACTAGCAATATTTCCAAAATCTCCTGTAAAAAGCCAGCTGTAGACTGGAGTTACAACAGTAGGGTATCTATAGTACTTTATTTTCATGCATAAAAATAAGGTCTCCTACTTTATTAAAGAAAAAAAAAAAAAAGAAAAAAAAAGAAAAGAAAAAAAAAACCAAAAACACAAACAAAACAAATCACAAAGCATAGTCACCAGTAGGCACTGGTGAAAAAGGTTTTGACTGACATTTCTCCTGGTTTATGCTCCAGAGTAGCAAAACTAGGTAAGTTTAAATGTTCAGTACATGCAACTTGCATTCACAATTCCTAGTTATAAACAGGAAATTATTTGACTTTATGAGACATTTTTTAGTACTTGCTATTTACGAAATATGCCAGTCCAGTCTGCCTCTCCCCCAGTTTACTGACAAGGGTGACATCTGTAGCTAAACAAGTAGACATGGCTGACTGTTTCTAATGCTATGTCTGCCTAGAGGTAACCAACTTGCTCGTTGAAGGAAATGCACATTGCTCCATGAAACACTGTGACTTCTGGTCAGCAAGGACAGGCAGGAAAGAGTAATGCAAGAAGTCAGGGCAGAGCCCTTCTGGGCAAGACAGAAGAACTGTTCTTTCCAGCAACCAGAATTCCCCAAACCAAATACATAATCTGAAAAACAGCAGACACTTTAGGCCTATTCAAATTAAAGGATCTTCCTTTTCTGGTGTTACGAATGTATAAATGATGAATGTATAAGTGACATCCAGAGGTATTGCATGCGTATTAGAAGGTCAAGAATTTCTCCAACTTTTTATGTCCTTGAGAAAGATGGTGACTTTGCAGTATTTTTCCCCCTGGAGCAGGACAGTTGCATGCCTTTGGCGTGCCTTATTTACAGTCTGTGGTATTTTGTGACTGGAAATAACAAGCAGTATGCAATGTATTTGCAGTTCTGCATTTGTTTTTATGGAGTTCATTTCCAAAGGAAAAGATGGATATTATAAAGTCCTAATACTTTTCTAGTGCAGTCCTTAACTAGATGAAATTGTGAGTGGTCATAAGGCCAGTAGTGATTAGTAATATTGGAATTTAATAGTCAAGTTTAAGAATTCTTTTTTTCTCCTTTTTTGCATTTAGTTTAGAATACTTCTCTTGACATTGAATGTGAAATACACTTTCTGTAGCTTGAATACATTCCTTTTTCTCCTGTCAGCTTGAACTAGCTCTTTCATTGTTTACATCTTTTTAATATGTGTATAACACCCATTTTTTGCACAACTGGGTTTTTAAAGAACTGTAGCTCCACTTTGAAAATTCTTGTCAATATGTCAATTTTAATTAAGATCCAGCTATAAGTATTGAGCTGGCTATTTCTGATATGAAAGAGCAGCTGTCAATCTTTGACCTCTCCATTTCTTTTACTCACTAGGACTCAGAAGCCTGAACTTAATATTATTGCCACAGCTTTATGCAATGGTGAGATGCATCAGGATTATTTCCATCAGTAGCATTCTGTAACAACCTGCCAAATTATTTAAAAAAAAAAAAAAAAAAAAAAAAAAATGAGGTCACCATGTAATACTCCAGTTCTACATCTTAATTTACCTTCAAGCTCACTACAGATTCTTTATCTGCATTTTCAGCACATATGATTTTTTCTTGTACTATCTGATTTCAGCACTAAGGTGCTGCATGGGGATATATTACATAAAAGGACAGATATAAACTTTTATTCAGGGGAGCACAAAGCACTCTTGGTTTGATTTTCTTACTCCAGACACTAAACTCCTTTTAGTCTTCCCTTGTCTGACTTTTGTAGTACCACAAATTCCACTAATGACATTTTAGTTCCAAAACTTTAGCTCTATCATTGTCAACATATATGATCACTAAAAGGAAAACATATCGTTATGACAGATTGTGGAAACTGTATATTTAAATGTAGACTTCTCTTGGAATCATTGTTTACAACTGACAAGGAGTCTTTACCATATTTACCATATTACTATTGTAAATCTTCATGCACCTCTTGCCTTAGTTTCACCAGTAGGAAAATTCTGCTTTCAGTTGCTATTAAACCTTTTCGCTACATTCCAGACACTGATTCCATTTGTGTTTCTTGGGAGTCTAGTTGCCAGTCTGCTTTTTCAAAGACACTGAGCAAAGGCACCTTGCTCGGAAGGACTGAAATGTAAGATCACAAATAGGCCTGTTCACTATGCTTAAAATTAAATGCATTGATTTAACTAGTACTTTTTACTTACATTTAGGTTTTTTGCAGAATCAGAATAATAGATTCATATGTTTTATGCTTGCAAATGCTCTGCAATTCTTGATTCTGTAAATCATTATGTATTTTAAGCCTGCACATCTTTCCAGACAGACTTGTGCAACTCAGCTTTTCTTTGCCTCCTGCTGCTCCATAAGGATGTATCTAATATGGAACGATTTACTATCTGAAAGTTTGGCATCCAGCTTAGGAGCTCTAAATGCCTTCTGGAGGTCCACACCTTGTGAGCTATTTCAAAACTACGGCTCCCCAGACTGAGTTGGAATCACTGTCATCATTAGAGCAAAGATAAGTGATAAGCATACTGTTTTACAAATTGTAAGACTCTTTCCATGTCATATCATATGTAAACATTCAAATTGATATGCACATTAAGAGCATATCTAAGCATAAAAGAATAAAAGGTGTTCAATGTGTCTAAAATTCAGAATAAAATCTGTAACCCTTACAAATACTAAAAATTAAAATTGTTTGAATTTTTTTTTCCTTAACTATTAGTTATGAAAAATTCTTACTCGTTTATCCACAGGTTAACACAGAAGGTTTTTGTGTTCCTTAATAAGTGTGTTCTCTCCATCTTCCAAATTTCTTGTTCACATCCATTCTTTTTTTAAATCAAAGTCCTTAAAGTCTTTTTGCCCTTTTATTAATAATTATTAAGGGGTGACAAAATAATGATTAAGGGGTGACAAGCAATGAAATAGAGGGGAAGGTATGAAGGAACAAACACTTCTGTGTGTCATTTTCAGAATTCCACCTCTGCATCAGTATATCTAAACGCTCAGGTAGAAATGGACACAAATTTTAGCCAGCGCTCTTAGCTACCCAGCTCTGAGCCAGCCCTAGCCTGGGAAGAGCACTGCCATATCTGAACAGTTATGAGGTGGAGCTTACATGCACTCAAAGCCAACCATTTATTTGTGTGGAAATTTATGTACACAGAACCTTATATGTGCATAGTAAAATTAACCTCCATCTATCAATTAGGGCTTACAAATGTGGTCCTATATCTGTTGGCACAAATTCAGAGAAAACTAAGCTATAATGTATATTAGCCTTTATATTCTGAACATTTTAAGGGGTATCAGTAAAATCTTATCGCTCTCCATGACTGAGAGAATAAAGAAAAAGAGACACTTAGAAGATGGTTTGCAGTCAGGAATGCATAGGATTAGTTCTGACTTGCCTAAGTGCCTCACTGCATATCAGCTTTGGTCCAGAAACCACAGGATTTTGTTCACTCCAGAAAGAACAGGTTTCTCTCACTATAGAGGGAGTTAGCACAGCACTGACCAAGTAAGTCCCATTTCTCAAGAGAAGCCCAGTGTGCAAGATGATCATAATAAGTAGGAGAGGAGGATTGTGTTAATTTTTGCAACTCTGCTCAAGACTTACGGCTTAGCACAGCATCAAGCCCAATGCAGACACTCGATTCCCTGCCAAGAATTGCTTGCAGCTGGACAGTACAGCACATGGTTGGAGCAGGTGCAGCATGGTCTGGGCTAGGGTATGTAGGCATCCTAAAATGGAGCCAGTTACCAGAATTAGCATCACCATACTACCATGTATTAGACTTTGTTACAGTGATATTGCTGAAGATCTATTCTAATAGATAAACATAATTCTCAGGCTCTTATATGAAGATTCCCCTGCAGAGGATTGCAAAACTTTTCTGCACATGGAAGGATATACAACACAGTGTCAGTGAAAGAAAGACATAAGCCACAATCTTCAACCTGTTGCAAACTAACACGGCAGTAAAATCAGATGGAGAACTGAAGCTTTGTGCTGACTTCCCTTTCATTCAGATTCACTTAAACCCATTAGTATCTTCAAATATTTAGGAGAATCTATACTGTTTTCAATTATACATGAAGTGAGCTACAAGCTTTTAGTTAGATTAAAAGCTTCTGCTTTAAGACTATGCCCATTCTGACCTACTGTTCCCTTTTTAACCTGAATTTCAAAGTACCTTGAGTCTAAAGAGGACATGCATATTCTCCTATGTGGATTACAGCAAAGTAGGTCTCTGAACAAAAAGGCTTTTCCAGTCCAGATAAATGACCAACCATCATCATTACCAGGAATAATAACAGAGTTAAACATTCGAGTAGACAAATTGACCAGCTAAAGGCTTCAGAGCTTAGAAAAGGTTTAAGTGAAGCCTCGCTCCAGATATGAAGTTCATGGGGATCAATGAAATGTAAGAGACTGTGCAATTATATCTCCTGACAGTGAATTATATGGACACACTGTATGTGTTTAATACCAGCTTATCACCTTATATGGAGAAGTTCTCAAAATGGGAGTAATATGAAGGCTGATCATCACACAGAAATAAAGCAGGATTTTTTTTAACAAAGAACTTCAAACTCTAACAGAAATATAGAGAAGATCTGAAAGACTGTGCTATCTGAAAGATTGTGCTAGATTGTGCTAGACTATTCTTTGGAAAGACAGGCCCCTAGCCTCCATAGGCTTACATAAATTGCAAGAGATGAGGTTTCAAGTGGTTTCAAGCAAAAATCAAACAAAAAATGTATCTTAGGAATAGTTTGGAATTTACAAAATATCGCTGTGTTTGTGCTCAGTACCACAAATCTACACAAAATTACATGTGTCAGATCAGTTTTCCTGATGGAGGACTTGGAATGTTAATTACATGAACATGACATGCATGTAGGAGAACATGAAATCTATCTTGGAACCACTCTTTAACGTAACTGGCAGTTTCAAACAGTATGGCACCCTAATAACCCTCTGCTCTGTGCTTATTCCTACAGCAGCTGCTGAGCACTGGGAAATGTTGCCTCTGTCAGCATCTGTGGCATGAAACTGCCCAGACTGATCTGAAAGGAGGTGGCCCTGGGGCACTTGAGAGGCCACTGGCCCAGTGCCTGTTACTGGAGAGAGGAGAGAGCAATACCACACCTGAGGGTGTCCATGGCCTCTCAATAGGACAGCAGCCTGTAACCTCTGTTCTTCCTCCCACACTGTTTCACTACATTCTTCTGTTTCTTAAGTGGTCTAATAGAAAAATGTTCTTCTTATCACATGTGAAATGTGATGTCACTTACTGCAACAGGCTACGCTGCCGCTGCAAAAAAAGCACAGGGTCTGCTTCTCCACTGTGGGCAAGGATGATGCTGTGCCACTCAACATGACTCTTTCAGACCTGTTTTCATCCTAGAAACCAACAATACTCCACCAGCATCAGTTATGAGGATTCAAGGGGAGTAAACTTTAGAAAAGTGTTCTGGCATGGCAATGAGATTTGGAATCTTGGCTTCTCAGTAGTTAAACATTAAATCTAATTTAAAAAAAAAAATAAAAATAGAGAAGAAAGAAATGGCACAAGAGGAGGTGTCAGCTCAGTCTGTGTTGGCTGGAGTTCAGTCTCACCTGTGCTGCATGATTATGAGACAAAAGGCTTGTGGTTTCAACATGTTTGAAAGCATGTTTTGCTGCAGAGCTCAGCACCCCTGTGCTGACTTGTGTCTGCTCAGCTGGCACTGCTGCCCAGCCAGTTCCACAGACATGACAGAAAACATCTGTGCCCAATGAATTCACCTGGTCAGCCATACTGCAACACCTTCCACTGAGCTCAGGACATCACCCCCACTCAGGTCTGCAGAGAAAAAGCTTATTCATGATTTCCCAAGCTTCTTTGGAAAATAATGGAAGAAGAGCTGGAAGAGTTTCCCTCCTTTCAGACTTTTTAGTTGCAATCTACACACAGAAGAAGCTATTGAGTTGTTGAAAGCACAGTGGTAGGAATTTAGGTCATATTTCTTTAGTTATCAGGTGCATAAAAATGAATACAAAAATTGTACATAAGAAATAGATTGCTTTTACAGAACTTATCTATTCAGGGTTATATTTCCTGCCTTTCTACCCTGTTTTATCCAGCCTTTAAAATGCATTTAGTAATTCAGCTGTACTTATTTTCAATTTGAAGCAATTACTGTAATACAACAGCATGAATATATGCATTTCCAGAATTGCAGATACTCTTTTCAGTTGAAGGGAAACAGAAGAGAGATGGGCAAAAAGCAAGTAGGCTTTTCAAATAATTTTTGCAATGGATTTCAGAGAGGGAAAAATAGGACAGAGAGGGTTTGATCTTCAGCCTCTCTATTAGTGAGCTATGGATACATCTGAGTTCTCCCTTGAAGGCTGTGCCCACATTGGCCATGAAGAGGAAATAGACCATATCTGCAGACAGTGCAACAGAACCTGGTGTCTGGTAGCAGTATGAGGGCATCTCTTTGTTGCCTGCATTTCAGTCATGTAAACCTCTACTTCCCCATCATCAGCTTTCTGCTCAAAGATGTGCAGCTGTAGTATACAATATTCAAAAAGGACTACACCAAAAACAACAGCAAGCAAACAAACAAACAAAAAACAAAACAAAAATATACTTGGAGAAAATATTTTTTACGTGTATATGAAACAGCCAGAAACTCATGTGTGGTATTTGAATGCAGAATTCAGGATATGAAGTTCTACCCCCTGTGACTCATGCAATTTGCCCTGCAAGGAGCTACAGAGTAGCACACCTCATACTTCTCAAGTTTCACAGTTTTTTGAACAGTTCTGGCTCAGTTCAGCTGAGTGCAAGACAAATGCAAAAGGCTGAGCAACACTGCTGGATACAAAGCAGCTGCACAAATGAGCCCAGCCAAGAGTGTGGTGATTTGATTTTGTGAAAGAAGAAACATTTTCCCATGACTCTGTTTAATTCACTTATACAGAGCCAGAATTTTCCCTGCATGTTCCAAATTACTTCAAAGATGACTGTCAGAAAGTCTTGATAGAAATAAATTGTTTATGTTGTAAGCCCTGGTATTTCTGCTAGATAACTCTCATATGGAAGTCTCTGACAACAATGAAGTTATTTATCTAAAGTAATTTATAGGAATTCCAACTCTTTTCACTGAAATTTGATTTTTAACCCATCAGGGATGGATGTACATTACCCACACCTGTAAATAGACACTTCCTTTTATTTTCAGGCAGGTGAGGGGGGAGGAACATTT